AGCTGCCTCCTGCACACCTCCCACTGGGGATATGCCCGCAACCAAGGTACATGCCCTTGACCGGAACCAAACCTGGGACCCTTCAGTCCGCAGGCCGATGCTCTATCCACTGAGCCAAACCGGTTAGGCATAGGTTTGTGGTTTTCAATCCTTTCCCTATTCCAGACATATCAGAGGGATACCCTGACCCATGGCTGGCTATGGCAGTGATAGGGATAGGAACATGCCTGCCCTTCCCCCCAAATCATCAGGCTCTTCCTGGGGCCTTTTGTGAGGAAACCCCTGCAGATGGTTCTGCTTTTCCCAGATACTGCCTCACAGTAAAGTGAGCTATTGGTGTACAAATGGGGGCTTTGTCTTCTAAGTCGGCATCCTTGTGGTCTGATTTGTCAGCAGCAGCTGCATCTGGCTCTGGGGCGGTCCCAGAGGAAAGGCTGAAGGGCGGCTGCAGGGGCTTCATCCCAGGCACGTCCTAGGAACTGAAGTTCTGCCTTTGCCGGTTTTTTTTTTTGAGGTGATGCCTCAGGGCTTTTTCAGTTCAAACACACATCCTCCATTATTCGGGATGGCAATAATGATCTTTGAGCTGGCTCTAGCTGCTCACACAATCTCTCTCCATCCTGACAATGACCTGCATCTCCGTCACCTCTGTGTCCTTAGCATCTAGCACAGCCGTGGGCAAACTACGCCTGCGCGCCCATTTGAAATGAATAAAACTAAAAAAAAAAAAAAAAAGACCGTACCCTTTTATGTAATGATGTTTACTTTGAATTTATATTAGTTCACACAAACACTCCATCCATGCTTTTGTTCCGGCCCTCCGGTCCAGTTTAAGAACCCATTGTGGCCTTCGAGTCAAAAAGCTTGCCCACCCCTGATCTAGCATGATGCCTGGACTATATCGCTGCTCAAAGTTGTGTGTGATGAACAATCCTCTGAGTCCGGTAGAGGTGACTCCTTTGACTCCTGGCTCTTTGACTCTTGGTCTTAAAATTAAACTTACTTTCTGTGTGTTTATTTTAAATAAATATTAATGTGCAATTAAACTTATACCGTACCTCACAAATACCATTAATATTTATTCTTTATTAAATAGCTTTAAAAAATCCTCCCAAAGGTTCTCACCAGCTAGAAGATAAAGTCCAAACTCTTTAGCCTGAAACTTAAGGCCTTCAGTGACTTGGACCCTGATCACCCCTCCAGACATGTCTCAACAAATGTCTCACCAGATGAGACATTTGGGCAAGGCCAAGGCGATGGTATTTTAGTTATTGTACCAGACTGTGTGTTAAAACACCAGGTTCAAGTCTGAACTCATATTAAGAAGCCGTGAAACTTGGGGCAAATCACTGAACTTATCGTTTTCTCATTGTAAAGCCTGCCCTGCTCATTGCACAGGGTCAAACAAGGCAGTTGAAGGTAATGATCAAAAGAGACCATGTATCAGTGCATTTTGTGGGCAATAAAGCACTGTCCAAACATAAGGGGTAACAAAACTGTGTTCCTGCCTCTGCCCTTTGCTTGTGTCATTTCCACACCCTGAAAGCTTTATCCCTTCTTCCTTACCATTCACTCATTTACTCACGCATACACCCAACAGATATTGATGGATGTCGCAGGAGCCTGAACGCACTGTTTTCTCATTGTAAAACAGGAATAACACTGTGTGCTGGCCCGATACACAGGCCAGGAAAATCCAATCTGTTCTCCGCCCTCACAGAACATAGGGTCTTGTAGGGGGAAATGGTTACAAACTGAACAATCATCCAGACACAAGTAAAATTGCAGCTGTGACTTAAAAGCTCAGGAGTGGGTCCATAGGGCCTGCCCTCAGAAGCTGTAACAGGGGACCCAGGATTTAAGCTGTCTCCAGGGCCAAGTTCAAAGTCTGCTTTCTCCAGGAAACCTTTTCTAACAGTGCCCCAGAGAGCTGCACCCTCGCCCTGCCCCCAATTTCAGTTAACTTATCTACATAGCTCATGTCATCATACCCAGTTGTGCCTTGTTATTTTGTTTTCTAGTGAGCCTGGTTTTCTGGATTTCACTGTAAGTGCCTTCTGGGCAGCGAATGCCTGGCACGCTCTCTTATATACCACAACACCAAGCAGAAGGCAAACTCAGTGTTACATGAGCTCTAAGCTCGTGTGTCAGGGATGTCATTTAATAATGGCCCCAAAGCCCAAGAGGAGGGTACCCTACCTGAAAGTGAGCTCCACCTCCCCATCCCTTATTTCATGATTGTGCCCCTGGCCCTGTTCTTCTTCAGAGGAGGAAAAACTCTTCCCTAGAACATCCAGTCTACTTCCTGGTGTGCCATCTTGCTCCAACAAAAATTTGATCATATCTCTCCCCAGCTAACAATCTTCAGTGGCTCCTGAGTCTTCAGGACAAAGCCCAAACTGCTCAGCATGGCACCCACATCCCTTCATGGTCTGACTCCAGACTAGCTCTCCAGCCTCAACTTCCAAAATGCTCCTCACACTCTAAGCCCCAGTCATATCATTCTTTTTCTTTAAAATATTTTTTTAAAATATATTTTATTGATTTTTTACAGAGAGGAAGGGAGAGAGATAGAGAGTTAGGAACATCGATGAGAGAGAAACATCGATCAGCTGCCTCCTGCACATCTCCCACTGGGGATGTGCCCGCAACCCAGGTACATGCCCTTGACCGGAATCGAACCTGGGACCTTTCAGTCCGCAAGCCGACGCTCTATCCACTGAGCCAAACCGGTTTCAGCTAAAATATTTTTTAAAATATTTTTATTTGGAGGGAAGGTGGGGAGTGGGAGGTAATCAACCAAAGACCTTGTATGCATGTATGCATAACCCATGGATGCAGACAGTGGGGGGATGAGGGCATGGGGCTGAGGGGGAGGGGGCAGCGCGGGGGAGAGGGGGGCGCTAGAGGAGGTCAATGGGGGGAAAAGGGGGGCATATATAATCTTTTCAACAATTTTTAAAAAAAGAAAAAAATCAAACCTATTTGAAATGCCTAAATAACATATATATATTTCAGAGAGGAAGGGAGAAGGTAGAGAGATAGAAACATCAATGATGAGACAGAATCATTGATCGGCATGCCCCACACCGATCGAGCCCATGACCAGGGCATGTGCCTTGACCAGGAATTGAACTATGACCTCCGGGTTCATAGGTCAATGCTCAACCACTGAGCCATGCCGGCTGGGCCAGTCACATCAATCTTGTTGCAGTACCTCAAAAGCACCTTACTCTCAGGCAGCTGGGCTTTCACACCGTCAGCCCAGAATATTCACCCTTTTCTCTGCTTCCCCTATAAAAACTCAGCTTAGCTGTCTTTTCCTCCAGGACCCCTTTCCCAGGTTAGAGAGTCCCTCCTAGGCTCCTGCTACATCCCTGTTCCCCACTCTCTTATACACTATTCTGTACCTGTTAGTCTGTGTACTGACCAACTCATGGAATGAACCCAGGGCACCGACTTTGTTTTATCCCCGATTCCCTAGTTCCTCCCATAGAGCCTAACATGTCGTGAGTGCTCCAAGGTATCGAGTATATGCAACCTGGCTCGTGTCTTCCTAGGCCCATTGGAAGAAAGGGTACCTGAGATGTTGGGAGCACAGCAAGGGCCTTGATCTGTTTTTCTCTTTATCACAGTAGTAATGCAGGCTTCTTGGGAAGGGAAATACTTTATTAGGTGTTGACTGTCCCAGACACTTTACTAAGTGTGTTGTGTGCATTGTCTCATTTCATGGATGAGGGTATTCAGGCTCAGAGACTTGCCTACCTACGGTCACTCACTAGGCAAAGGCAGAGCCAGGACCCAGGGAGGCCCTGGCTAGGTAGCGCAGTTGGTTAGCATGTCATCCCAATACGCCAAGGTTGTAGGCTCGATCCCTGGTCAGGCCACATACAAGAAACCTCAGTGTTTTTCTCTCTCTCTAAAATGAATTTTTTTAAAAATTAGAACCAGGGAGCCAGACTCTGAAGCCTGTTCTCTTAACCACTATATTCTGTCCCCAGTAACAACCATGAAGGGATAATGGAGGTATCTATATGAAGAGCAATTTCCAGAATGTGCAGAGCTTCACAGGCACATCCCTCAGTCCCCTCTGGGCCCTGCTGTACCCCACTTCCTTCTTATAATGCTCCTGTCAGAACGGGTGAGTAGGAAGAGCCAGCAGAGCTAAATGGGAGAGTCCTGCTATTCTAGTGTGATGAGGTGCTCAGAAAGCCAGGAATGTTTACTTTGAAAAAAATAAGAATTTTAGGAAACCAGCTATTAATTGTAGAATATGTAACAACTACCTAGGACGACACAGGATTATGTTTCTACATAGCCCCATAAGGCAGAACTTAGCCAGCTTTCCACTAATGAGAGCTGTCCGAAAGGGAAAGGCTGTCTTTTATTATTTTTTAATCCTCACCTGAGGATAAGTTTTTATTGATTTTAGAGAGAGAGGAAAGGAGAGGGAGAGAAGAGAAACATCGATTGGTTGCCTCCCATACGTGCCCCAACCGGGGATAAAACCCACAACCTGGGTATGTGCCCTGATCAGGAATCAAACCCTTGACCCTTTGATGTACAGGACAACACTCCAATCAACTGCGCTACACTGGCCAGGCCAGGAAGGCGGACTCTTATGAGGGAGTGGGAAGGAACCAATATGAAAACGCTTAGAGCCTTAAGAAAGCATTTATATGGAGTCCCAATTTAGGAAACTTTACATTGCCCTGTGACTGTAAACTCAAAAGGCACCAAAACCACATGTGGTCATATTCAATTATCAAGTGGTCATTTTTTTTTAAAGTTACATATACTCAATTTCTTTCTTTTTAAAAAAATGTTTTTATTGATTTTTTAGAACGAGAGGGAGAGAGATGGAGAGAAAGAGAGAAACATCAATGAGAGAGAAACATCATAGATCGGCTGCCTCCTGCTTGTCCCCCACTGGGGATAGAGCCCAGAGCCAGGCATGTGCCCTGACAGGGAATGGAGCCTGTGACCTTCCTGGGTTATGTTCAACCACTGAGTCTTTTTTTTTCATGGATGGAAAGTTGACTTATTGGTGGGTTTAAGGTGGAGGCAGCACCGAGACTCTCACGAGTGCAGGGCTCGCCATTTGTCCAGGGGACCACGATTAGGGATGTATTTGACCCCACAGCCATCTGGGATGAGGCGCTTCTTGACCACCAGGTCTTCAAACTCATCCGCATTAAACTTAGTAAAGCCCCACTTCTTGGAGATGTGGATCTTCTGGCGGCCAGGGAACTTGAACTTGGCTCTGCGTAGGGCCTCAATCACGTGCTCCTTGTTCTGCAGCTTGGTGCGGATGGACATGATGACTTGGCCAATGTGGACTCTGGCCACTGTGCCTTGGGGCTTCCCAAAGGCACCCCGCATGCCTGTCTGGAGCCTGTCAGCCCCAGCACAGGACAACATCTTGTTGATGCGGATGACGTGGAAGGGGTGGAGCCGCACTCGGATGTGAAAGCCATCTTTGCCACAACTTTTCACCATGTACTTGTTGGCACAAATACGGGCAGCCTCCAGGGCTTCGGAGGAGAGCTGCTCATATTCGTCTGACACCATGTGGCCACAGAGTGGGAACTCATCCACTTTCGCCTTCTTCCGCCCCAGGTCAAAGATGCGGATCTTGGCATCAGGGACACCTCGGCAGAAGCGAGACTTTGGGTACGGCTTGTTCTTACAATACCGGTAACACCGGGCAGGGCGGCGACCCATGGCGACACCAGGATCTTCAGTGGCACGCTGAAGGGAAAGAGATCAATTTCTTTTTAAAAACATAAGGTTAAAATTTATTATTCAGAAATCATGGATTCTACAAAATCTAAGTGAGGATTCTAACTTGAAAAACCCTAAGAGAGAGGGAGTAAGAGCCTCTCTCAGGTCCCTTCTAATTCTGAAATTCTCAGAGGTGCTGGATTCCAGAATTTTGGATTTGGATTTGCATTCTGAGCTTGGTCATGTTCACACTGCCTGCCTACTTCCCCGAAAAGGCTCTCTGCTGAGCAAGAACAGCTCTGTTTGCAGTAAAATACAAGGCAGCATCTTACTTAAGCGTTGCACTGCAAGAATGGCAGTGTCCAGAGACCAACCAGCACCTTCTTTCCCTATAATCCCTCTTCCTCAGTCATGTTTCATTAGCCTTCAGTTAACCTCTGGGTATGTGTGAGAAAAGAAAATGCAGGGTTGGGAACTGGAATTCCCGGTGTGGGTTCTGGTTCTGCAACTAGGTATCATTGTGAATTTTTTTTTCAAGCACAGTTTTCTTCAAGTCCCCTTCCCTATGTACTTCCCAGGGTTGCATAGCTACAACAGGTGAAACTAACACATGTAAAGTGTACTATTATTATCTCTGACCTCCTCCACTCACCGGCAGCTGCAGGTAAGGTGGTATGTCTTGGCCCTGCAGAGATGGGTGTAGGTGACAGCTCTCAGCCTGAACAGGTGTCTTTGCCCTCCAAAGCCAAATATAAACGATTTAAGATTATCTGATTTGGAAAATACTTCTGATCTTGCTACTGATATAAAAACCAAAAGTTGACAATATTTAGCTCTTTTATTTGTTTCCTTGAGTCAGATGGGAACTGTCTCTTCCCATGTTGAGAGTTTCCCAAAGGCAAAGATCACTTCCCTTTTTGGCCAAGGAACTCTTTGGTGTTGTCTTTTCCGCTCTGACCGGTTTGGCTCAATGGATAGATCGTCGACCTGCGGACTAAAGGGTCCCAGGCTCGATTCCGGTCAAGAGCACATCCCTGGGTTGAGGGCTTGATCCCCAGTAGGGGGTGTGCAGGAAGCAGCCCATCAGTGATTCTCTCTCATCATTGATGTTTCTCTCTCCCTTTCTCTCTGAAATCACTAAAATATATTTTTTTAAAAAGATGTTGCAGTTACTTTCTAATAACTGATGTCCTTGGGTAGATGTACCCACAATGGGGCTTTTGTAGTGATAAAGAAGTAAGAGGGCCTAAGGGCAGACAAATGAAGATTTATATACTGATTTTGCCACTTACTAGCTATGTGACTGTAGTTTAACCAACCAATATGGGCCACATTTCTTCCTCTACGAAACAAAGGGAACAGAGCCCACATTCTAGGCTTGTTAAAAAGAATTAAATGAGAAGTTTGAAAATCTTTACCACAGAGCCTGGTATATAAGTGCTCAATAACGAGTAATTGTGGAGGATTGCGGCAGAGAATGAAAGGGACACTGTAGGGTGGAGGGGAAAGGGGCCACAGAAGGGATACAGGCGATGCAAACAATAAAACAAAAGAAAGGGACACTGTGTGCGGAAGGGCTCGGTGGCGACCGGCACCTGGAGGTCCTGAAGCAGCAAGGTCTAATCCGGCAGCCAAGTCTCCTGGCTCAGAATCAGTGCTCCGCACATCACAATCCACCGCCCCTCCTGAGGCCTTGATCTACCAACCACCAGAGGCCGCGCAGAGTCCCGAGTAAGGATGGCGGCCCGGAGCCAACCTGGCTTCTTGCAGGAAAGCCTCTCTAAGACGGCTTGATGCATTCAGGCTCCGGGTGGGTCACACACGCGGGCCTCAGACCCTCTTACTTACTCGGAAATGGTAACGGTCCTTAACGGCAGTCAATAACGGCTCTCCAATCGCCCCGGCACTAGCAAGGGCAGGCTGAGGTCAAACCTTGGCTTTTGGAGCCTCCACGCCCGCAACCCTAAACTTACGCCGAACTACAATTCCCAGCATGCCACACGGCGCCGGCCATCAAAGCCCAACGCCCAGTGTTTCCGAGTAGTGGAGGCCCTGGCCTAGGACGGCTTCCCCTCATAATTTCTGGGTATTGTAGTCCACCTTGTTCCGGTTTCCGGGGAATGAGTCGCGCCCACTTACGTCTCCCTTCGCCACAAAAACTACAAAACCCAGAATATAGCGCCAGTTCCCCTCATCCAATAGGAACCCCCCATGTAGCGAGGCGCGGAGGCCGGCTCTTGGAACTCAAGATGGCGGACGAGAGTGAGACAGCAGTGAAGTCGCCGGCCCCTCCGCGGCCGCAGATGATGGAAGGGAACGGAAACGGCCATGAGCACTGCAGCGACTGCGAGAACGAGGAGGACAACAGCTGCAACCGGGGGTAACGAGATCCTCGGAGTCCAATTCCTGTCCAGTCTCCCACCACCTGGGTTTCTGGGGTGCGGGGAAGTCACCGGGAGCTTTAGTGTAACCCCACCCCCATATTCTTATTGGCTGAGGCATTGAGATTCTGCCTGGTGATTGGTTACTTTCCTTGTCATTTACCAGGGTGGGTGCTCAGTATATTAAGGGCCGGAGACATTCAATACTTTTATTATATAAAAGTTCTTCTGTGTGTGCTTCAGGCGCATCCCGGAAAAAGAGCCTGTAGGATGATGGTTTTCGATGGCACAACACAGGTCCACATAACCGTACAGTTCAAAGGGAACGTTACTTATAGAGGTGTTGTGTGAACAACGTGATTAGCAATAACTAATAAAACACTTCGCTGCGCTACGTCTTCAAGGAGGAAGTTAACCAGGCTATACAAACCATAATTATGTTGTAAAATGTCCCTACCAGAGAATCTGAAAATATAAACTCACCTTATAAACCCTACACAACCACTGTGTAAGAATGTTTTGATGTATAGGGTGTCTGTTGCTCCACATAATTCACAAGTTGCCTGAACAATATATAATTAGGTCTTCCAGCATATTGGTTCTGTTAACTTGGCGAAGTCGCCTCAAGCTTCAAGAAATTGAGTGGTGATGCTTCTTGGGCGGTGCTTGGGAGTGGGTTTAATTCTGCATCTCCTGGACGTTAGGGTCTTGCCTACAGGTAACTGTATGTCCCCCGGGCAGGAGAAATGTACCGGGCGTTTGAATGTTGGGTTGTGTTTCCAAATCAGTTTTCACTCTGTAAGCCACACCCCGTCATTCCTCTTCACGTGGTTGCAGTGGCTGGTGCTGATGCTCACTCTCCCTGTCTATGTCTATATCTATATTTATGTGATGTTAATGGAAAGTCATGAAAGACTGTTTTGGATGTGTAACTTCCGCCGAATCTGTGGTCTGACTTTCATAGCCGCCTTGTCATTTGCAGTATTGATGGTATTGCTGGAGGTAAAGGTAGAAGGTTGATGTCTTTGGATAAACTTTTTAAAAAAATTCTGAGAGAACATAGGATTAGTAAAGTGGCTTATAATCTACCTGTGATGAACCCTTAGGTTAAAAGATCTATTTCTCAGCCAGCATTAAAAATGGGAAGAAGGTCGAGGAAAAGGAAGCTTGTCAATTTTGGTTTCATAAGACTATGTTCTTTCGCTATAACTCCCAACAGATCTAATGTAATAAAAACCTTGTTTTGAAGTTTGGGATTCCTAAGAATGGAAGAGCTGAGAAAGAGGAAATAGGAACAGAAAGAAGGGAGAGCGCAGCCCTTTTGAATGGAGATCCCACTCGTAGATGAGAGTTGTTGAATTAGAAAGTCACTTCAGAAGTGAAAGTACAGTTTCTTTGCTCTCTGTGTAGTTGCTTTTATTTTGTTTGTGTTTTTTTTTTTTTCTACTAAACTGTTGCTCTGACCAGTGTCTATAGCTCATTAATGGTTTTTGTTTCCTGTAATCAATTAATCATTTTGCAAAACTCCCCTGGTTAATTAAAGTATAACAAAGTGGTAACCTTAAAAAACTTTGAATGGGTTTCTTTTATTGGTGGTGGTTTTGTTTACAGTTATAGTCTGGGTGAACAAATTAAGTTTATTAGCATCTTGAACCTAGAGGTCTTTATAAAAAATGAGTTTGGAAGTGGCAGGTGAGAACCAAAGGGCCCAGCCTGGTGGACAGGGTCTGGTTTTGGCATTTAGATTCCAAGGTAGACTCAACACTTTCCTGTTAATTGTCAGAGTAAACGGTTTTGGGAAGAAGCCGTGTGGCACGGTAGGAAAAGCACACACACTGGAGTCATTCAAACCTGGGGTCAGCCCTGGCCACTGTGGCTCATTTGGTTGAGCCTGGTCCTATGCACGGAAGGGTCTCAGGTTCGATTCTTGGTTAGGGCACATGCCCCCGTTATGGATTCTGTTCCTGGTCAGAGTGCGTATGGGAGGCAACCAATTGATGTTTCTCCCCCCTCCCTTCCTCTCTCTAAAATCAATAAAAACATTTTAAAACAACAACAAAAACCCTGAGTAAAAACCTGGTTCTGACACTTAATAATCTATGACCTTGGGACAGTTACTTAACCTTTAGTTGTAGGGATTAATAAGATAGCATTTGGAATGAAGTCTTCCCCCTCCCTCGTAGTCTTCAAAGCTTCCTTCCAGCTTGCCTGTCTGCCCTTATCACGTACTGTATTTTTTGTAGCTTTTATCATAACATTAGTTAAGCAACATAGGTGTCCAGTCCCTGCCTCACCTGACTCTAAGGTGCCTGAGAACAGGGTTCATGTCTTTGAGATGCCTGGCTCTTAGTGTGCCTTCATGAATATTTGCTGGATGAATGAATGGCAAGTGTTAAAGTTCTTACCCAGTGTTGGTGGAGTTTCATTTCTCCTCACTGAAGAGGGTGAGGTTGAGGGTGAGGTTGTCAGGTTTTTCTTACATATACACTTTCTGTCCTCAAATAAGTCCCATTGTAAGCCTTACTACAGATTTTGTGAAATACCTATGGAAATCAATGATCCCCCAATTTACTGTGGAAGTTTTCCACTGCTTTTTGGCCTCTTGAAAATTTTATTGTCTTTACTTGTACTATTTAAAATGTTTTCAAAGTGATATAAAAGTTGAAGGGGAATATCTCCCTTTGATGCTAATAATTATAAAGTATAATATGCAATTAGGTCAAACTCACCCTTATTCTCCTAGGCCTTTCTTTCAGGATGGGCTCACAGTGCTTTATAGTAATGAAATGAGCTACATTCATGCGCTGGAATAACAGGAAATTCAGCTGTGCTATTTCCTTATGTTCCTTTGTGTATAAGTTCTTGACTTTTCTTGTCATGTATTTCTTCCCCAATTAAACATTTGGTGAGTCTAAATTTCATATGTACATATGAATGTGTAAGTGCACATGCATACATATACATTGTGTGTGTGTGTGTGTGTAGATGTATCTGCCTGCAGTTTTCCTGTCAGCTTTTTTTTTTTTTTAATTCACTCAACAGAGAAAAGGAGGGCAGTATTTTTACCCTGGTAACTTGCCTGACGTAAGTTAATTACCCTCAGCAATTGAGAGGAGGGTCAGACTAAGACCACCGTTATGCCACTTACCCCAGCAGTTCATGATCCATCTACATATATCGCTTATTTGCTTGTTTGTTTTTCATGAAAGGCTTTCCAAGAAGTATCACTAAAGAATAAACCTTACCAGCTGGCAGATTTTGGAGTACCAAATAGGTAATATTTATCTGGGTGTTTTGGAACAGGAAGGAACTTTTAAACTCTTTGGTTCCTAGGAGTCTTTGGAATTTATGTTGCAATGTCGTCTGTACCATTGAGATGCTGTTAAGCCATAGGTCAAGAACCCTTTAATAAGGGCCTCTTTTCCGTCCTGTTCTCTTACTCCAGGGGACAGGTTAAGATGGGTTTTGAAAAGCTTTCCTTCTTCCTAATTATGCATTATTATCCCATATGAAGAAGCTGAACAGAAAAGAATGGTCTTTTTTAAAGGAATTTCATAAGCTATCCTTGCTTTTTTGATTTCTTCAGATTCTCCAAAGAGTTATTCTTTCCGTATTTATTTGGTGGCTTATCACTGCATCGAGCTCTTGGAAAGAAGAAATCTTTTAGTTTCTTTTTCGTAATCGCCCCCTTCAGCTTTTGGTTTTTCAAAACTAGATCAAAGCAGAAATGAAAAGAGAAGCCTCATCACTGATATCAAATAAGTGTTCTAATTTTATTTCCCAATTAAGTGGCAATTAAAAAGAAACTCATCAAGAACTGCTTCAAAGAGAAGAGACTGGAAAGCAGAAGAAACGAAAAATAAATTAGAGCCTATTTCAGGGAGGCTGCTCGTGGCAAACAAGTTCTGCTGATTTTTCATTGTTTAATGTGCTCACTCCAAAATGTCCCAGCTTTACTAAGTCTGCAGTTAACCTTTTCCCTGTGAAGTTTGTAGATTTTAGGACCATAGATTTAGTAACTTGAGGAGGATGCTTCTTTAGCTTTTCCTCTCTAACTGTTTATTTTAAATCTCTACCCTGCTAGCCTCTCTTATAATTTTTCAAGGAGGGTGCTTTTGTAATTGTTGCATTTAGGGCACACACACACAAAGAAACTAAAATTCTTTAGTGGGGTTAGTCCTTCAAACTTTTTTCTAGTGCTGCTGACTTTGAGAGGCAACTGAGGAGGGTTCACTGTTGTTAAGTGTTCAGTAAATGTTATACTTTGTTATTTTTACTATGTGCTGGGCACTTAGACATTGCTAAGCCCTTTGCATGGATTATCTCAGCTCCACTGCCGTTATAACTGGTTTAGCTTACGTAATGAGGCTTGGGATTTGCATCTTCACCTCTCCATTTCACACCCTGAAGGACCCATTATGAACTTACGGATTTCTTTTCCCTACTGCATTGACTTCTACATCCTGACTCTATGAGACTGTGAGTCCTGTCTTCGGATCCATTCAGTAACCCAGGGAGGGACTTACCCTAACTAGCAAGCCAGTTGGTGATGGAGGTGGCTTAAAGGTGGCCCCTTTAAACTCTCCTT